CGGCGACGTGACTGGTCGGCGAAAAAAGGGGCGCCCGAGCGGAAGGACAAAGTGGGTGGGTGGACAAATAAAACGCGAGGAAAAAGAAAATAAAGGAGGAGAAACGAAAAAAAAAAAAGGAGAATCAGCTCTGGCCATTTAATTACGCGCGTGTATGTTTGTTATATTCCCTTTCTCTTTCTCTTCTCCGCTTCGCCGCATCTCTCTTCTTCCCTCGTTGCAAAAGGAGAAGGGTCGCGATTGTCGATCGATCGTCGTTTCAAATCGATATTCAGGAATAGTCGCCGTGGTTGTAAATCGGTATCTACCCGAATCGTGCTAAATCTTGGAAATTGGTTAACCGCCCGCCCCGAAAATTCGACCGCCTGACAAGTCTTAGGTTAGGTCGCGTGCAACACGTTCCTCGTCGATCAGACTTCGACTTTATTTTGTATTATCTTACGCGGTGAAGGTATAAGCGAATAGTTAATTCGAAACCGCACGCGTTACAGGTTTCCTTTTCTATTCGATTGAGTCGAGGCGAGAGTATTTCCTACGTATTTATTAAATATGTTATTCTGTTCGACAATGGCTCAAATATGGCGGCCGTTCGTCTCGCGAGGAGGACGACTCGATTGCGAATGTTGGAGTTATATTGTAACTTGATTCCTCGAAACGAGGCGATCGTATATATAATGGAAATCAGGGAATGGGATTTCGATATTCCTATTTCCGTTATCGAAGCTTTCTATTTTCGAATATGGTTGAAAAATTTAATCTAGACAATAGGATGGGAAAATTTTAAGAGGGAAGATCGCCGGTGACATGGTTTCATGGCTGCAGGGGGCTTTGAATTCATTTGATTCGAGGCAAACAATCGTTGTAACGATACACGCGCGTTTAAACTGCGAGGAAATTAAAACATGTTTACCGAGTCTTGATTCACCCATTGTTCCATTGATTTCATTTTATTTATTTATTCATTTATTCCGACTCTTTTTTTGTTTTATTTTTTATTTTTTTTTTATACTCCATTGAACGTAGAATTTTCGGTGAATTTATGACCCCCCCTCCCTCGTATTAGAAAATCTCTCCGTTGCTAAATTTCACTCCCTTATTTATACAGTTTTATTTACGGATTTAGACCCAATTGAAATATATACAATTTCAACCAGCAACATGATTAATTTCACCAAACATTGAATATGTTCTTCGATATTATTAACAACAATTGTATATTGCATTACGGAAT